GGCTGCCCGCGTCGCGCATGCTGGAGCTTCCTGAGGCCTACCCAGGACGCTCTAAGCATAGTAGTCGGTTCTCGTGCGGGCTCTCGGCTCGCGTCCGAACGGGCTCTCGTCCTCGAGCAGCGAATCCTCCTTGAAACCTGCGAGGCTTCATGGCCGTGGGAGCGCGTATATTTGCGAGGCGTCGTGTCCCATGGAGAGCGCGGGCCAGTGGTCATTTTTCTAGGGAGCAGGCGCGAAAATATGTTCGCTTGGATTTGAAGAGCAACGGCGATCGGAACTGCAAATGGCGATGAACTCAGTCTTTTGGTTTTGCCCACAGACGTCCAAGATAGCAAAAGAGGGTACAAAAGGCTCCCCAAGATGGCTCGGGAGAGTTCCACCTAGGAGCCTCCCCTCGTTTAACTAACCGGCTTTGATCCTTCGGGGCTTCATTGGGTTTACCATGGGACTCTCAGGGCAATGTGCATGTTTTCTTGCTGCTCTTTTGAAGTCTGCTGTAGCTTAGCGGAGTCTGTTCAGGGCGCTGTCGCAAGAATTGTTTGCCAAATGCTGGGTTCCTGGGCGACTCAGAACCCACTGGATGACTTGATGCAATCCTGCAAGAGTAAGCTGCAAATGATTCCGCCCTGGGAGCGTGGACCCATTGTAAGTTACAAGGGTAAGTGGCCCTGGGAGGACGGCGTTTGCGCAAATTGCTAAGGATCGTGACCCAGGGAGCACGGACCCGTCGTAACCTAGACGGGATCACCGCCCTGGGAGCGCGGATCGAGAAGAACACTCAAGGGATCGTGGCCTCAGGGTCGTGGATGCGTTGCAGATTCCTGGGGATCTGGCTCGCCGTACTGTGGTTGGTGGTGGACTGGTCAGCCGCTCAGCATGTCGCGTCCGCCGCCACTCTCTTTGGTCCTCAAGCCTGTTGCAGCACAGGGCTGGACCTGAACGCTGTTTTGCTGGACTTCGGCCGTGTTTTGTTTTTTCGTTTTGGCAGGGAGGTGCGGGAAAACAGGTAGAGCCAAACAAACCACAGAGCGAACACAAAACGAAAAACAACGTTTGGGCCCAGCCCTGCAGCCCTCGGGGCCCAGGCACGCGCAGGGGCGGCGCGTGGCCTGCCGGAGCGTGCTCCCAAGAAAAAATCGGATCCGCGGCGGCGGCGGGGGCAGGCCATGCCTGCTGTGCGGTGGTGCGGCTCTGGGCCTCTTGGGGGCCTCCCCCTCCTCCTTCCTCCTCCTTCTCCTCCTCCTCCTCCTCCTCCTCCTCCTCCTCCTCCTCCTCCTCCTCCTCCTCCTCCTCCTCCTCCTCCTCCTCTCTCTCGTCCTCCTCCTCCTCCTCCTCCTCCTCCTCCTCCTCCTCCCTCCTCCTCCTCCTCCTCCTCCTCCTCCTCCTCCTCCTCCCCCTCCTCTCCTCCTCCTCCTCCTTCCTCCTCCTCCTCCTCCTCCTCCTCCTCCTCCTCCTCCTCCTCCTACTCCTCCTCCTCCTCCTCCTCCGGGAGGTTCCGTAGCCACCCGGAGCCATCTTCGGGGGTGTCGTGGGGTCTTCTCATTTGGAGGCACTTTTTCAACCATTCTGAGCCGTCTTGTGCCAGCTTGGAGGCCGTCTTGTACTTCCTTGCGCCATCTTGGAGCCATCTGGGGCCAAAACAGACCCTCCGGCACCTCGGTCCCGCCCCCGTCCAGACCCAGGGGGAGGGGAGAGGGGAAGGGGATGAATGGTAACCCCCATCCCCGAAGGGGAAGAAGCTGGTTCGAAGAGGAAGCGCATCAGGTCGCATTGCCCTACGCTGCTGGTGGAGTCTGCGGTTGATCGTGGCCCCTGGGAAGCGCGCACCCGAGGCCTTTGGCGAGGTGCCGCGGCCCCGGGACCTCGACTTCCTGGTAGCCTGAACGGGGTCGTGGCCCCCTCGGGCACCGCGGACCCAGCCTGACGTTGCGCGGAGTCGTGGCCCCGGGAGCGCGTGCCCAGCTCAGCCCACGAGGGGTCGTGGCCCTGGGAGGCGCGGGTGCCCCGCAACGTCCGAGTGTCCTCCGGCTTGGCATCGCTCGGACGTGTGCATTTTTCCTCCGGCGAGGACCATCGAGGAGCATCCTTGATCATTTGGCGAAAAAGCCACGCACGGAACCGAAAAAAACACAGGGAATGGACGTCCGAGCGATGGCGAGCCAGAGGCCAGAGTCCAAGGGCTCCCCTCGGGGGACGTTTTGGGAGACTCACGGGGGCGAGCCAGGATTTGGCTGCGGCGGCCAATCTCGCGCATCACAGCAGCTACAGCTATGACACCGAATGCCACCGCGCGCGACAGCTCACAGCCTGGGGACCCACCAGGGTGGCCGGCGGATTTCCACGAGGTTGTCCAACATGCGGGGATAGTCTCCTCGAGCCACAACGGCTCTCTGTTCGCATGGGAGGATAGTGGGTGGAGCATGGAACTGCACCAGTGCCAGTCCACCCTGAGCTTCTATGAAACATTGGCGAAGTTGAGTCTGCAGCAAGGCAACCCGCACGATTTCTTGACAGGACAGAAACCATGGATTCACTACGCGTTTCCGGGTTTGGCGGCTTATCGCGACGTCGTTACATGGTGGAAGTATTCTTTGTGCACAGACCGGGAGGTATTCCCGCCGCCGGGGTCGAAGTTCTCCCAACTGAACGCCGTCACAAAATGGAACGTGAAAAAGACGATGTCCCGCCCGCAGCCATACTTTACAGTTGAAGCCCTCGGGAAGAGCCTCTTTGAGGTCATGGATGCTCCTCCACAGCCATCCGCCTCAGGGCACCGGTGGCCTTCCAATGCGCTCCCTTCGATGTACACGCAGCCAGACATGGCCAGGACCGAGGACGACCTGATATACATGCGCGTATTGCCAACCTTTGGTGGAGCGCTGCTGCCATGCGACGTGGAGTTGCTGCTCAGCTACCTGACAGTACCATACTTGCGGCAGCCTCTGGTGCTACGGTTCTTTAACCGCTCCGATCGCATACTGGCGCTTCGCAGTCCTGAGCTGCGGGATATTCTGCAGGCAACGCTGTTGGAGCCTGGCCGGCTACTGTTTCCCCATCAGTTGAACTTGCACCCAAATTTCGTGCCCGCAAAGACTGGAGAGGAGGCCGAGCTGCTGGCCACGCCGTCAGGTCAGCTTCTCCTCGAGCTGGGCTACGCGCCGAAGATGTTGCTGCAGTCGTTGGATCTCTGCTTGTCGCTGGCTCTCGATGTGGCCACGTCCTCCACGTCGCAGACCGTTGACATTCTGCTATTCATGGCGCGCCTCTCCAGCCGAGTCATAGGTACTGTTATCTTTCTCCTGGAGGTTGCTAAAGACAGTCACAGGGCCAAGCAGAGCAATTGGAAGGAGAGGCTTGTCATCCAGCCGGGCAACCAGTCTGTTTTAGAAGAGCAGTTGCAGCAGGCTCGTGTGAGATTCGCCGAAATCATTCAGAAATTCGACGAGTGGTTGGCAGAGCTGGACGAGAGTAGCAAGAACGATCCAGAGCTCATCGACAAGAACATGCAGACGATGTGCCAGATCTACGCCCACATCCTCTTGATGATGCGCTGCATGGACTTCTCCTCGCAGAGCCGCTGTGCGGAGCAGGCGGTGCGGCGGATACTGACGTCGTTCTTCTTCCTGGTGGCGCACCACACCTGGAACATGAAGTACTTGGATCCCCTGCCGGAGCCCGAGATCTTCGAGATCCTGCACACCCACCGGAAGGCCGTGGTGCAGTGGCTGGACGAGTGCCGGGACCACCTGCGCGGCGAGGTGTTCTCGGCGGTGCTGGACGGGGCAGTCCGCCAGTTCTTGCCCGGCGGCAACCGCGTCGGCTGGGAGCCCGTGGGGAACTGGGGCATCATCGTCGACGGCGACGACCCGAACAAGCCCACAGGGCGGTATGCGTGTTCCCAGGGTGCGAGGGTGGTGGGCACCGAGGCAAGGAAGGTGCGCTTGGTTCAGCCAGCGGAGGCCACGAGGTCCTTCATGGAGATAAGCGTGCAGCTGATGGAGATCACGATCCGCGGCACCTCTGTCCGGGCCGTCGAGGAGGGCATTCTCAGCTCCATGTGCATGAGGAAGGTTTTCTTCAGTCGCCCGGGGAAGGCCCTCGCTGACGGAGGACATCGCGGGATCGTTTCGGAAGCCAGCGCGATCGATTGGGACACTTATTGGCAGGAGGGAAAGCTGCCGACGATGCAAGGTAGCACTGTCCTCAAGACGACTGTCGTCCAAACGATCGAACTCATATCGTACCCCGCGACTGTATGCGTTTGGACTGGTATCGAGCCAAGCGCAGATAATTTTCTGCCTTGCACGGAGGACTTCGATGAGTTGTACGACGCCGATGAGCTACCAGTTGGTCTCGAGTGGATCGGGTCACTCTTCGAGCCTGTCCGGCAGATGTTCTTCGTTTGGCCCCCTCCCGAGACGTCGCCCTCGTTCTTCATGCGTTGGCCCATCGATCCTCGTGCAGAAGTTGTCGAGCTCGTGGGCTGCCATCCCAAGCTAGCTCGGGGGCGGGTCTGGAAGGAAGTGGTCGTCTTCCGCAGCCTCCAGGTGGTGCACGTCTACTCGATCATGAGCTACGGCCACCATCACTACAGAGTCCTTGAGTACAGCAGCAACTGCAAGTTCTGTCTGGCAGATATGCAGCCCTCCCCACAGGAGCGGAAAACGCCCTGGCCCGCCTGGGAGCGCTATGCAGCCGGAAAGCCGGAGAACGAGCTCAAGGCCCATCCGGCCACCGTGACAATCACTCGCCGCCAGTTGAGGGTTCCCGAGCAGTTCCGGGCAGAGGAGGCGAGGCCAGTCCCAGGCCTCAGCACGGAGAACGAGAAGGTTGAAGATGAGGACGAGGAGGAGGAGGACGAGGACGATGTTGACGTGCACGAGAAGAACGAGCTGGAGGTGATCGAGCTCTGCAGGCCTTGCGAGGCGGACGAGAAGTGTGTGTGGGTAGATCAGGGCGGGAACAAGCGCCTGGCGACGGTCGTCTCCGTGAGAGGGTCGGAGTCGGTGGAGATACGGGTGGATGGTCAGGACTCGGGGGGGGAAAACACACAGACACAATTAATGGTCGATTCCTTCGAAAATATTGGAAAATATGGGAACAACTGGGAAATGGGGGGAAGACGAAAATCCGAAACATATGGACAAATATGGGGAATCCTATTATTTGTGTGTATGTCAGTGCGTGCACGGGAAGGTTGTGAACGAAATGGCATGATGCGTCATGGCAGAAACGAACCGTTTAAACTGGGGGGACCCCTGGACTCCATAGCCTTCTTCGGTTCGAGATGGCCCAGGGGCCTCTTGGACCCTGGGCGGTCCTCGCCCTGGGAGTGCTCCACCTGGTCTCGCGGCCCTTCCAGCTTCCTGGCGCGCCGTCGGGGATCCCGCCCTGCGTGCTGGAGGCGGTGTGCCCGCCCGCGTGGCTCCCGCCCGAGGGCCCGGGCGAGGCCCGCCCGCCGTGCCCGGAGGCTCCCGCATGCCCAGCGGCGCCCGCGGTCTGCCCTTTGGTGGACCCCGCGCCGGCGGCGGCGGAGGAGGACCCCGTGGGCGTCCTCGTGGCGGGCGCCCCTGGCTTGCTGGTGGCGCTGCTGCTGGAGGTGGGCCGCTGCGCTCGGCGCTGGTGCGGTGGATCTCGCAGGGCTGCGGAGACACACGCGTCCGTGAGTGATGGCGTTGCTCACGCACGACGCGGGGCTGGAGTGGTGGAGGCGCCGGGTTCCCGGGCAGCGACTCGTCGTCCGCTACGGTGACGACCCCGTCGACCACGAGCGGGTCCTCCTCTTCCCGAGCCTGCCGCCCGGCACGTGGGCGGCCCGCGCGCCAGACGACGACGAATATGAGGAGGACTTCGCCGGCGCGGATCCAGCCTCGGGCCCCGAGGGAGCTGCGCTGATGCCGGCGGACGGCAGCGCCCCGCCAGGCTGGCCGCGACCAGTCTACCGCTTCAGGGCGCCAATGACGCGTGCCGAGCTGCGGGCCGCCATCGAGCGCGGCCGCGCCCTGGTCGAGGCACGTCTCCCTGGGATCGCTCCGGCGGAGCCGCTGGAGGTGGCGACGGCCGGCCCTGGCCTGGGCCGACTTCTTCGGCCGCGAGCCGCGCCCTGGAGCGCATCGGCTGCGTGGCAAGCAGCCCCCCGCGCCGCTGGCGGACGACCGCATCTGGGTCGTGGCCGAGCCGACCGCGAGCGCATCCGTCGGCACCGCGGTGGATCGCGCCGACGCGCGCTTCGTGCCGGGGACTGCGCTGGTGGCCTTACGTTCGACGAGGGCCTGCGTCGAGTGGAGGCGCTGCTGGCGGAGGACATGTCTGGCTATTCGGCGCGGCGTCGTGGCGAGATGGGGCTGAGCGACTTCCCGAGCCCCGAGATGCCCGCCCCCGCGGACCTGCGCGAGCGCATGGGGCGTTCGGCGCTGCCCGACGAGGATGCGGCTGCCGCTGAAGGCGTCGGGGGCACCAGGACACCGCCCGCGACCGACGGCGCCTCGCCAGGAGGAGACCTGCGCGTCCTCGAGGTGGATTTCGACCCGCAGGGGGAGAGGTTCAAGTCCTTCAGGACGGCGTGCCGCGAGTCGACACAGGAGGTCTTCCCCGACCAGCCGATAGAGGGCCCCGCGTCGGCCTTGACGGCCTGCAAGAACATGGAGCGCACGAATGGGGACCCGAGGCTGTGGCTCCGCGACTTCCTGAGGTCATGGGGCCTGGGGGAGAACGATCGGGTGGCCCACGAGCTGAAGGTGTTGTGCGATATCCTCTCCTGGGCCGCCGTGTACGACCAGGTGAAACTGGGAGGCTTGGTGTGTCTCGAGACGGCAGCGCGCCGCGTGGCGGGCCTGGTGGCGGTGTACTCTGACCCCGCCAAGCCCGTCTGGGGGCGCGCGCGGCTCTACACGGGCGCGACCTCCTCAGGCGACATTGCAGGGCAGGCGCTGATGCAGTTCGCCACCGGGGAGATCAAGGAGCAGCAGGAGGCCCAGTCGGCGCTCGCTTTCGGGAGGGGACCGCAGCGCCAGTCCGAGGAGGTGGCTCCCGACGGCGAGGGCAAGCCAGGACGGCCGCCGCCCAGAGGGAAGGCTGGGGGGGAGCCGATGCCCCCCCCAAGGGGCCACGACGGCCCCCGCGGCCGGGGGGGGCCCGTCCCTGGCCGAGATTCAGGGGTAGAACGGGGCCAGCTTGCCGCCTCGCGTTTCGCCAGGGGGCCGTTCCCGCTGCCTCGCCAGCGCCTCCGCTGGCGTTTTCCACGCGGTCGTATGCGCCTCCATGAGGGAGTTTTATTCCGCACTTGCAACGCTCTGGCCAGAGACCCGCATGGAGCTGGAGGTGTTCCGAGGCCTGCTGATCTTCCTGGAGCGACTGGCGCTGCAGTGGAACGAGCTGGCGTTGGCCGCGGACAGCAGCTTGGAGGCAGGAGCGGCGTCCACCACCCGCTGGCCCCGCAGCATGGCGGCCGAGCCAGGCCGCGTGCAGGAGAGCGCCCGCTTCCGCGAGGTCGCTGCTGGGCCGCTGGCGGCCGAGGACGGGGGCCCCCCCGCAGCCCGCCACGGGGCCCGCGAAGCCGCGCTGGTTGCGGCGGGCTTCTAGCGGGACGGCGGCGGCGAGTGGCGGCTGGCCGACGTGGGCCACGACGCGGAGCTGGCCGCTGCTTGGGAGGCCGACCCAGGCTTCCCAGAGGGGCCCGCGGCGGGGCTCGCGAGCTGCCGCCGGCGCACGAAGCAGGTGCAGCGCTGGAGGTTCGAGGGGGGCATCCTTATCAAGGAAACCCGAGCGCTGGCGATGGGAATTCGTCGCATCGCCCATCAGTGTTCGGGGCCGCCTGCCGCCAACTGATTCTGTCGGATAACATGTCACCTGTGTTATCTTTTAACGGGAGCCGAGCAAAAGAGTTCGCCCTTCTCGTCCAGATCCGCAGGTTCCATGCCTATTGTCTCGCGAGGAATGTGAAAGTGGATCCAGAATTTGCGACAAGAAGGGGCCAATGAGCCCCTCGGTTCACAGTTGCTTGATACTCTACCTTCAACGGAGTCTCTTTTACAGGGTCCCCCCAGGGTTCGCGCTCCCTTCGTTTTCAATCCGTCACCGAGCCCGGAGTCTTGCTTACCTCTCAGAGCGTCGAGCCAACCCTCGGGTCTCGGCCCCCTTTCACCGAGTGAGCTCTCGCCCTGTGTATTCTGCCTGCCCCCTGACGTCTTCGCATCCCCTCTTGGCTCAACCGTTTGATAGGGCCGAATTATCTGACCCTCGGTCCGCTTCGCATGCGGCGGCGGGAGCTTGCGCGGGCAGAGCCTCTGCCCGCGCCCCTGCCCGCGACCGAGCGGAGGCGCCAGATGGAGCGGCTGGCGCAGGCGCCGGCTGGGGCGAGGCCCCCGCAGCTGCGGCGGTCTGCTCCGGCGAGCGCAAGGCTGGCCCCAGCACCGCGCCGCCAGAAGACACCGTCGGCGGCCCAGCGGTCGCGGGACTGGAAGGCTCGCCTGAGCTTGGCTGCGCTGCCGCCGACGCCTCGGCTTCCAGAGCGAGACGCGGGCCTGCTGGCCCTCCCCCAGGACTGGCAGCGCCAGATCGTGGCCGACAGCGACGGCGACAGTAGCACCTCCGACGAGCAGCAGGCCGCGCAGGCCGGCGAGAGGCGCGAGAAGGAGCTGCTGAGGCTCGCTACAAAGAGGAAGACTTACGCAGCGGAGGCGCTGCAGGACAGCGCAGCGGCGGACGGCCGGACCTCCCTGGAGCGAAGGTCCGCGCTTGCACCCGCGCGGAGGCGGCGCGGCCTGGAGCTGGACGCCTTCCTGGAGTTCTGCGACGCGGAGCCGCGCCGCCCGCTGCGTTCGCCCGCGCAGGTGGACGAAGCCCTGTGGACTACATGAACGCGTTGTTTTTCAACGGCCACGAGTCGTCGAAGGGCGACTAGGTGATGGCGGGCCTGATGTACAGGTTCCCAGAGTACACGAAGCAGGGCGAGTCCAAGACGCCGCGAGCCTGGCGTTGCCTCCGGGGCTGGCGCAAGCTGGCGCCGGGGCGGAGCCGCCGGGCCTGGCCGCTGGTCCTCTGGCGCGGGCTGGCTTGGCGCATGGTGGCGCGCGGGGCGCTGCAGATGGCCATCTTCCTGCTCGCCGCGGTCTCGGGCTACTTCCGACCCGGCCACCTGCTCTACTTGGCGCGCGGCAACATCATCGCGCCAGCGCCAGGAGTACGCCGCTGGCGGTCGCTGCTCCTCTTCCCAGACGACAAGCCGCTGCGCATCAAGACGGGCCTGGCCGACGTCGGAGTGGTGCTGGACAGCGGCTGGTTTCAGTGTGCCACGCCCATCTTCCGCGAGCTCGCGCAAGGGGCTCCAGAAGAAAAGGTGTGGGACTTCAGTTACCCTCAGTTCCTGAAGATGTTTCGGATGTCGCTGCAGGACCTGGGTGTCGAGCAGCACATTGTTCCCATTGTTCCATACCAGGCTCGACACTCAGGTCTGAGTATATACGTGGCCAGGCACTACAGAACGCTCGAGGAGATACAGAAATGGGGGCAGCGGAAGCACGCCAAGTCGATGCAGAGATACGAGATGGCAGCCCGTCTCGGGCAGTCGTGGAGCTTGCTGCCGGCCTCCCTGCGCGACACTCTGAGCGATTGCGAAAATCGACTCGAGGACATACTTCTCGGAAAAGGTGCAGAGGTGATTGCCCAGTGAGGCGGCTCGGCCGCCGGCGCCGATACATCTTAGATTTGTTCTCGAATTCTGATTCGATCGGGCAAGCCGCCCTCAAGCGGTGTTTAAATTACCACGGTTTTGACATTCAGAACGGCCCCGACAAAGATTTAACGTGTCCAGTCGTTATTGCCAGAATTCGAAGAGCTATTGCCCGCAGAGAAGTTATCGCCGCCTCGCTCGGTCCCCCTTGTGCGTCTTGGGGCATAGCGGCAGACAGAGGCCGCCAGCCAGGTCGCTCATTTTTTTCCGTGGGGTATCCCAGACGCCACAGAGTATACTAAGAATAGGATCGCCACCAGGAGCGCCACTTTTCGAGCTTCCCTGACCTTCATGAGATGCCTCGTGCGAGCCGGTACCCCTTTTGTACTAGAGCATCCCAGCAGCAGTAAAATTTGGCACACACAGCAGATGCAAAGCTTGGCTGAACAACATGACATGCACAGTAGGGTTCGTGATCAATGCCAGTTCGGAGTCCGTTGGAGGAAACGCACAAAGCTTTTATTTTTTCCGGCGTAGATCCCCAGGACACTTTAAGCTGGATAAGCGTTGCCGCAGTTTTGGCGGGATTTTTTTCGGCCTCAGGGAAACCACACGTTGTGCTCGAGGGCAGGGCCCCATCTGGGGCCACGTGGACTTCCCTTGCCGCGTCCTACCCAACAAAGTTAGCTGACTGCATAGTGAACTGTTTGCTTAGCCGCCACAGGGACCTCGAGGCGGCACTCCCCGTCTAGCCCGCCACACCCTCCCAGTGAACCCTTTGGGATATTGGGCTTCTGTTGTGTCTCAAGCTTCGCCTAGACGAGTGGCACGTGGTAGCAAACATGTTCCCCGTTGAATGTAGCAGTTAACCTTTGTTTGTGTGTCCTTGGGCCCCTTCAAGGACCAGCCGGTGGAGACCCAGATGAGTGAGCTCCGGAAGGGGAGTCAGGGGGACCTGGCGCCGTGCAGCCAGGATGGCACGTACAGGAAGGTGTTCAAGTTCGTGCTCGAGCCGATCGCCACGTCGGCCGTCGGGGACAGCGCGAACGACCTGCACGGCGGCTCGAGCGAGATGAGGATCGGGGTGTACGTGGAGGGCTCGGACAGTATCCGGCCGCCTGCGGGCAAATCCGCCACCGTGCCAGCGAAGCAGTCTGTGTGGCGACCCCTCGAGCACCGCCCAGAAGACTGGTCACCTGTGGCACTCGACACTGCTCTCGTCCCCAACTCGTGGGGAGCTCTCACGAGGCCTATTTGGGCTGTCTTGGGGCTGTCTTGGGCTCCGGCGAGGCAAGTTTTGGGTTTCTTCGGAGACGTCTTGGGGCCTCCTTGGAAAGCGACAAGCATCGAACAACTTCACAACCAAAACAATTCCGTTGGCCTCTGGAGGGCCTCCCAGGCAACGTCTCGGGCATGTCTTGAGCCTGCTGGAGGCCTCTTGGGGCTTACTGGGCGTTTCTTAGGGGCTTTCGGGTGCGTCCTGCGGCAATGCTGGGCCAACGTGGTGGCATCGGTGGCCTGCCTGGGCCGTCTTGGAAGGATGGGGCCCGTTAGAATCTTCCCAAACCCCTACCAGACACCACTAAGCATTCCACGGTAGGTTCGTGTCGTGACGACGCGACGGCGACCCCAGCGCCAGCGGGTAGGGTTGAACGCCGCCGGCGGGCTGGAATCGGCCAAGGTGAAGCCATTCGCGCTGCTGGAAAGCCGCGATCGTTCAAGGCTTAGCGATCGACGCGGTGTCAGAAGCCAACGCCGGCGTCGTCACGACCCGAAGCTGCCAGACCACACGCCCAAGCGTGCCAGGGGGGCACGGTGGCGGATATTCATGTACGTCGACGACTTCCTGCCGAGGTACAAGCTGATGGGCCTGTTTTCCAGCACCACCACCACAAGTTTGAGGGCCGAAGGAGGTGGAGGATTAGGAGGAGGGGGAGGAGGAGGAGGAGGAGGAGGAGGAGGAGGAGGAGGAGGAGATGAGGAGGAGGACGAGGTGGAGGAGGTGGAGGATTAGGAGGAGGAGGAGGAGGAGAAGGAGGAGGAGGAGGAGAGAGGAGAGGAGAAGGAGGAGAAGCAGGAGGAGGAGGAAGAGGAGGAGGAGGACCCCCTCCCCCACCTACTTCTGGTGGTGGCGGTGGAAAACAAGCCCACCGCCAGCACAGCACCGGCCGGCTGAGCTTCAGTGGCAGGGGCCGCTCGCCCGTGCCGTTCCCCGCGGAGTGCTACATCCCGCCCAAGGACGCCGTGAGGTTCGGCGGCGCGCCCCAAAGATGGGGGAGGAGGAGGAGGAGGAGGAGGAGGAGGAGGAGGAGGAGGAGGAGGAGGAGGAGGAGGCGGAGGAGGAGGAGGAGAGGAGGAGGAGGAGGAGTGGGAGGAGAAGGAGGAGTAGGAAGAGGGCCACCCGAAGGGGCCGGAGGATCGCGCCGCATCGCCGATGCATCGGTCTTGGCCCAGTGCCCCTCGTTCCTCCTCCTGCTCCTCCTGCTCCTCCTCCTCCTCCTCCTCCCCCTCCTCCTCCTTCTCCTCCTCCTTCCCCTCGTGCCCCACGTTCTCCATCCTGACGCAGCCGATGCATCGGCGATGCGGTGTGATCTTCGACCCCGTGCAGGTGGCCTTCGAAGGGGGGGGGCGCAACGGCGCGGAGGTCGACTGCACGTGAGAGTGACCCCTCGCTGGAGCGACCTCTGGTGCGGGCCGAGGGCCCATTGGGCCCACCCGATTGCCGAATGCGATGCGACGGCAGCGACCTGCTTGCTTCGGTCCGGCCTCCTCGCGCCCCTCCCCCACGAGCCGCGCACCAAAGGTCACTCGTGCCTGGAGGCACTCTCGCGACCGAGGCGCGGAAGCAAGGACCACTTCGGGCTCAGGAGGGGCTCGCGCCCTCGGCCCGCTCCTCGGGCCCAGGTGGCCTCGGCCCGCCCTGGCCAGATGAGCCCCTTCGCTGCTTATTCGGCGCTCCGTCTGGTAGTAGCGCGTCGACTGCACGTGCAGCCGACGGAGGGCGGCTGTGCCGAGGGGGAGGGAGGGCCCTCCTGGGCGGGAGGGGGCCCCCTCCCCGATGCTGCTGGGGAGGGCCTCCGGCCTCTTGGAGGGCAGGAGGGCCTCCATGAGGCAGGGGCCCTCCCAGCAGCTCCGAGCTCCGACGCGGCGAGCACGCTGCCAAAGCGCGAACGATCAGGGCCAGCGCCCTCACCCTCGCCCTCCCCGCGCCCTCGCCCTCCTCGCCCTCCTCGCGCCCTCGCCCTCCTCGCGCCCCCCGCGCCCCCCGCGCCCCCCGCGCCCCCCTCCTCCCTCCTCCCTCCTCCCTCCTCCCTCCTCCTCCTCCTCCTCCTTATCTCCTCCTCCTCCTCCTCATCTCCTCCTCCTCCTCCTCCTCCTCCTCCTCCTCCTCCTCCTCGTCTTCCCCCCCTCCCCCCCCGCGGCGACCCCACGGCGAACCCCGCCGATACCACGGCGGACCCGCGGCCAGTCAGCCACGCGCCACGCTCAACGGGGGGTACCCAGACCGCCGCCAGTCATGAAAAAACAGTGGCAGAATTTTCGACAGTTTTGACCCAGAGTGGCCCTTACCCGGCCACGGGACTGTCAAAAAAACGACTCGGGATGAAAAACAGGTCTCGGGGAAGGGGTCCAGACTTGAGGGGTCGACGTTGCGAAATAATCACGACGTCGGGGGTCTGGGGTAGGGGGTGGGGAGGCTTCTCAGAGGCACCCTTACTTCTCAGAAGGCGCGGGCCTTGTCTGTAGATGCAGGGCACCGGCCCTCTAAGAGGGGGCCTGCTTCTGCGAAGCCTCCGCCCTCCCCCAGGGCCCCAGGGGCCCGAAGCCGGGCGAGAGCGCCCGACTCGAGAGAGATGCGGCGCCGGGATCTCGGGGAGGTTGTGCCTCGTCGGCCCCCGCCTCAACCTCCACCTCCTCCTTCTTCTTCTAATTCTTCTTCTTTTTCTTTTTCTTCTTTTTCTTCTTCTTTTTCTTCTTCTTCTTCTTCTCCTCCTCCTCCTCCTCCTCCCCTCTCTCCTCCTCCTCCTCCTCCTCCTCCTCCTCCCTCCTCCTCCTCCTCCTCCTCCTCTCCTCCTCCCCCTCCTCCTCCTCCTCCTCCTCCTCCTCCTCCTCCCTCCTCCTCCTCCTCTCCTCCTCCTCCTCCTCCTCCTCCTCCTCCTCCTCCCTCCTCCTCCTCCTCCTGGCCGCTCGCCGCCAGCGAGGTGTCTGAAAGTGCTGAACAGCATGGCGAGGCGAGCGCAGCTGGCTCTGCCGGCCGACCATCCGGAGCACTACCGCGTCGACGTGGGAGACTCGTGGGCGAATCTGTGCCTGCGCGGCGACCGCCCGGGGCGCAAGCGAGAGAGAGAGAAGGAGAAACAGGATGATGATGGTGATGATGATGGTGATGATGGTGATGATGATGATGATGATGATGGTGATGGTGGTGATGATGATGATGGTGATGATGGTGATGGTGGTGATGATGATGATGGTGATGGTGATGATGATGATGATGATGATGATGATGGTGATGGTGGTGATGATGAT